CTAAGATTTAAATTGGGCAGTGACTAAATAGACATCAGATCTACATAGATCTTTACAATATACATAATACAGAAAGTCATACTGAGTGACCAGAGTGGCCACACGGGTGAAGAGAAAAGAACTCAGGTCTCCTGTAAAATTTAGCTCTGTATTATCACCAGAAAGAAAAACATGTCAAAGTATTCAGAACCAGTTATGTTAGATCCTCTCTCCACAGCTATTATAACTATGCCATGATATCTGGTTACATCATCATCTTTTTTTGCTCAAGTGTTGTGTAAGTGAACTCAACAGTGTTACCAACCTTAAGGAAGCCCTATCTTAAAAAAAAAAAAAAACAAACCAAAACAAAACCCCAACTGTTCAATCTAAACACAGCAGTAATTGCAGTAGCTGCTTTTGAATATTCAGTCCTAAGTGTCCTGTTCTAAAATCTGGCAGTCTGTGAACAATTAACGCTACTTCCTATTTTTACTGCAACATGAAGAGAAATAACTCCAATAGTTTGGAAGCAAAAATGGTGCTTGAAACTAGTGGGTGCTGATTGCAATTTTGCTAATAAATTGTTAGGTTTATTGCTGCATCTTCTGGATAGTGCAGACATCCTTCCTGAAGACAATGCAGGACACCAACCAAATGAAGAAGGAAATCTAGGTCAATGAAAATTAAAAAACCGGAGTCTAAACCAAAGTATCTCAGCAGTATGGAAAGGCTTAGTAATGACTTGGAATTCAGCATTAATCACAGAATTACAGGCAAGTCTAACAGCATATGCATGGCTGCTCACACTCCCTACTTAACGCAGGCTCTATTTACGTTCAGTGGGTAAAAAGTTCTACAAAAAACATAAGGATCTGATTAAGTGTCCCTCACTAAAATCAGGGCAGCTCCTCATATTGAAAGTTGAACACATGTGTAAGCTAAATGGCATAAAAGTATGAAAGAAGGATTGCTCAACAACACCCCCTCCACTCCGGCAGTCTAAGCAGACTCACACTGAGCTCCACAGCAGCACTGCCTGAATGTAGACCCCAAAGGCACTGGCAGATTTGGGGCCTGTCACAGGAAGAAAGTGGAAGAAGTTTATTCTAAAATGACACAGCTTTACTGTGTCTAAAGTCCCAGCTACTAAGTCCCAGTCCCAGCTGGGACAGTTACTAAGTCCCAGCTTTACTGGGACTAAAATCTTCAGTATAATTATAGCGTTAGGAGAAAAAGACAGGTATAGAAAGCAAAGCGTATCTTGGGAAATAAACTTTTGTACCTGATGGGGAGAGATACGATGTGTAACATCCTGCACAGGCCACTAAAGGCAAACACAACAGAGAACTTAATGCAACCAAAGTGGGCACTTGGCACTAGGTTTGACTGGTCCACAAATCTGGGAATCACGATTCTGATAGTAACCTGCCATTACTACCTGGCAGCAGTTAGAGCAAGCACAGCACTCCCACTGAGAGCAGCTGCAAAGTGGCTTTAGAGCCAACCAGGACAGACCCTGCCTTGTAACTCTTTGTAATCTGGCCAGGATGGGATTAGCCTTTACTCTTGCTATAAGGCTTACAGTTATTGCATCTAAAATTTCCTGGTAGATATGCAATTATTATCATGCAGATGCATTTTGCAATCCACCCTTCCACTGATTTCGAAGCATTTAAGAAAGCGATAATCCTTTCTGTCAACATCTTAACACGTAACTGAATAATTAGCTGTAACGTAGCATTTTGCCTAGTTCTCTAACTTAGGCAATTTCTAGGTCTCCTAAAACCTAAAATTTTTTTTAGCATTTTGAAAACAACAGAATAACAGCTAAACTTTTATTTTTAAAGTCACTATTAACATGTACATATGGAAATACAGTTCAAAGAACTGCTGCAGCTCTGAAGAAGCAGGGGTACTTCCAGAGTGATGTCATTTTTCTGTTAATCCAAACAGAGTTCCCACTCAAATAAATTAGTTCACTTCCTCCCAAAAGTAAATCTGAAAATACAATTTTTCAAATACAGATACAAAGTTTTACAGCTGACAATTCTGAGTAATTACAGGAATCACAGTGTTTTATTACCACACTACAATCCAAGTACTTTCATTATAGCATTCTATTAGGTGCATTTCAACAGTCTTGCCTTTTTTGTTTTGTTGAATCTATTTCTAAGCCTATTTAAAATGAAGGGAAAGTTAAATCCTCACTACATTATTGCTACAAATCCAATCCACTGTAGAAGGATTTTAAGATTAGAAAATAATGCATTTCTCCAAAGTATATTTGCTAAGTTAAAAAAACTTCCTAACATGCATGCACATATCCTAACTTCGTTTGTGTGAATAAGGTTTCAGGTTCAGTTTTAATGCACAAGCTCCCAGCAATTCAAATGGGGAGGTGGTGCACGCATGTTTATATATGCGCATGCACACACAAAAAAAGATTACAATAGCCATTAAAATGTTCTTTTGCAAATAGGTAACATTACTGTTATCGGCTAAGGTGCCAGTTTGTCTTGTACCAACAGCAGCAAAACAAAATGTGGATAAAAACATCCAAAAAGTTGCAAAAGCTATGGCTATAAAAATTAATGACATTTCCAGAAGCTTAAAAATTGGAACTGAGATTGGAGAATCCAGTGAGGCCACTGAGCAATTGGTGAACCTGCAGTGCAATAATACTTCAAAAAGTCACTGTCTTTCTTCAACTGCATATTCAGTTTTCCTGACGAGGTAGAAAGGACAATTTACTACATTAGAGATCTACCAGGCAGTAAGTAGGCTATAGCAACTATTAACAACGTCACAGCACATCCACTACCACAATGCTTACAAAGTTGGGTGACAACACAGCTCCTCTGCATTTCCTCACAGACAACTCTCATCTTCCAGGTTAAGAATTATGAGAAGACCAAAAAGGGGTAGAATCCCTTAGGGATTATGCAAATCTCCATTATGTGCCTAGCACCGATGCTAAGGCACTATATGTATGAGGAGGAAATAAACTATGCCAAAAACACACAATAGTTTATTAGAGGTAGACTGGTACTTTTTTAATGGAAAAATACACATTAGCCCTCACTGTTTTTCAAACTAATAGTACTTCACTAGTTGGGCTAGTCCTACTACAATCAGTCCTTCATGACTAAAAGCTAAAAAAAGGGGACTAACTAGATAGGACAAGATTTACTGCAGTATTCTGATTTCCTCTTGAGGAATCCAAAAGTCCCTCCCCAACAAACATTCCTGGGATGGGAAAGGCTATCTCAGTTAAAACAGGCAAAGTCAGAAAGACTTGTTTTTTAAGCAATACCAAGTTTACCAAGTTTTATGCTCAGTTCTTTTTTCCTCCTTTAGAGGAGATTAGTTGTTCCTTCCCACAGCAAGGGTGGCAGAAAAGGGCAGAGAAAAGAAACATGCTGAAACCAGCTGTCACAGTCTCCTGTCTCCATGGGAAGGAGAATTTTGCAAGAGTGGCTATCCAAATGGGTGCCTCTGGATTTGGAGATAAGGAGCCCAAGGCTTTCAGAGGAGGCTGCTGGACATCTATACAACTTATTGTGCAGTATTATATACCAATTTGATTTTGCTAAGTCTAGTTTCACATCACCAGATTTTAGTGGATTTTTCCAAGTAAAAACTAGGCTATACATTGTAAAGAAACGTAACAAGAACAATGTTTTAATAAGTGTTATCTACAGATATTTTTGAAGGAAAAGAAGAAATGTAAAAAGACCTCTGCCTGTGCTTAAAAACTAAGTTCAACTTATATTCATATTTTACTCTTATTTTAAGGGACTAGATAAATTAAAAACACCTACTGGTAAAAATATACATCATCAAAAGAGAAATGCTCACCAAGACTCAGCATCATTATTTATGCAACACATTAAGTTAACCCTTAATTAAATACAAGGAAAATAATTTCACTTACATTGACAACCACAGAGCCAAATTTTTTTCTGCAGCACGTAACTAACTTTCAAATGAAAGTTAATGTTATCCCATTTAAATCCTGCCCTAGAACATTCAGTTCACCATACTATTTTACACATAGGTGATGGACACGTGTGCTGCAGGAGGCTTTTTCATGTTTAGTTTTTCACTTTTGTGGCATTAATTGCTTTACATATATATTTGTCCTTCTACTGTGATGACTGTGCATGGCACAGCTTTTTGTGGTATTTACATCATACTATCACCTTTAAATTGGAGTACTTTCACTTAAGGAAGAAGTGACGCTACAAATCTTTTTTTACTTCTCTGAGAACTGCAAGAAAATTTCTCTGTCAGAGAAACTGTCCAAACAAGCAGCAGAACTGTCCAAACAAACAAACAGGAAGAACAGTTGCTGTGGCCAAAACCACAGCTCTATTTTAAATGATGATCCCCAAATCTTGGGGCATGGAAGGTAGTGCCCATTATGTGGTATCAGGACTTGAACAGTGGCTCTGAAGGATCTAAAATACAATCAAACATTTGGGAATGAGTAGATCCCATTGTTACTGAGGTCACTGTCCTTAGTCCCTGCTCTATACACACAGCGGGGAAATGCTTCTGTTGCTTTCGAAACCTGTGTGTCTATTCACACAGAATTCAGAGTCAAAAAAGACCACAAACCTGACCTAATTAGTTAAAAAGAGATAACAATTAGGGTCCATGTTTCTACTCCCAAAGTATGGCCTGACAAACCTGTATTCTTAATTAACTAAAATCAAAACCAAGAGCATATTGCATATTCCTGAGAAGCGCCAAATACCTACCAATATCAACTAGATGGGACTGGTAGGAGCTTGATTTCTAAAAAAAAATCAGTTAGCAAGATGGCTAGATGTCAAGTTTTAATCTAAGTATTTGTGATTACCGCTTAAAGAAAAAAAAAATCAGCATACCAAGGTTTAGATTTAAAATCTCCACACTGTCCTTCATAAGTGAGGTGAGGATGAAGCAGTATGTATTTTCTTAAAATATCAAAAGTAAAAATTAAGTATAATGAAAGCACATCAAGAAACAAACTGTACAATTTCTGAACTGCACTGTTTATTTTGCTGCTTGAAACCTAAAGTGACAGTATGCCACTATAATTATGGGGTTTCTTCTAAACCTTTACTACACTGCAGGTACAGAAATATACGGACACATTTTTGGAGAATTGACATTTTTGCAAAATGCAGCAAACATTTCAATTTATACATGAGAAAAGGAAGTGTTCAAAAGGGTATGCATTTCAAGTTATTGCAGGTTATTTCTGTGAGAGAATTTCTGCAGGTAAAACATGTTTAAATTTAACCAACAGTAACGTGTCAGTGTATTTAAAATCATGACAAAAATCTTCTCTCTGGTCATTAATTGCCCTTTGACAAATTACTATGATGTTGTATGTTTAGGGCAAGATGTCAATACAGCATAAATCCCGTGGCATTTTGGTTTTCTTCTGGAGATTAAAGCTGTTTTTCTTGGGATAAATGCAGCAGCAAAACACAAACCAGCTGATCAAAAAAGCACTTCTGCCATAACTCCAATAATTTCAGGGCACACCAACCGACAGTAGTTTTGCCATTCCCAGTTCTTTTAAGGTTTACATCACAGCACTGTTGCCTTAAGTACGTTTTGTAAAAGCTTGTTTTCTGTTAGGCCAGCTTGCTGACTACAGCCTGGTTGAGAGAATTTAGTTGGTTGGTCCATTTATCTAATGCAGTATACCGTGCACCACCTCTCTTCTGATGATCCAGTTCAAGGAGCTGGTTGACTTGATCAATTCGGCCATGTATAGTGCTATAAATAAATAAATAAATAAATCTCTCAAATGCACATGGAAATAGAAACTAGTAATAAATCAGAGGTCAAATAAGAGGTCGTTTTATACAAAAGACAGATGCAGAATCCATTTCAGAATTTAACAATTTTATAACATACTGTCCACTTTTACTATATACTGTCCCATGTAGTACTGCCTATTTATTTGTCATCATGACTGGAAATCACATTAACTAATTTAGTGGACAATGCATATATATGCATTTTATATATATATATATAATATATGTATGCATATTTACGACCCACATATAAAATCTGAAGCAATTAAATGTAAATACTTCTTTTAAGACAAGGAATCAAAATATGGAGATTTATTATAAAGTGATTTATTGCAAAATTCAAAATTAATGTAAATACATGCCACTCAATCTCTCTATATAACTGTATTTGCTCACATCTTACAAATATACTAGACTGCTCCTAGGCCAAGTAAATCCAAACAATAAATTCAGCATCATTACTTTTGGATTTTAGAATCAAATGGTATTTTCACCATACACAAAAATAGTTTGTTGTTTCTCGTATACTTTGATTATTTTAAAGTGATTAATGATCAGAACTAAGAAAGTACATACTTATCCAATATGCACTGCACAAGCAAGCTTTCCACATCAGCTACATCTATGTTTAACTCCTAAAAGAAAAAAAAAACTCATTACTATTGTTTTGCAACAATAAATCCTTCCAGTCTTTATTTTCATGTACAGAATTTGATTTGATTTCTGATTTTCTTACTGTTAGAATGTATGAAATCAATAATGATCAGTCAAGCAAGAGAACTCCACCTAAAGCATATACTGTCAATGATCACTACATCAGTAACATTTTAGAAAAGGCTGAAAAGGTTAAGGCAAAATTTTTGGAAGCTCCTGAAAAAGAGTTCCTTTGCTGACTATATTGAAGAAAAAAAAATAATCAGGAAATAAAATGAGACTGTAATTATCAGAAAAGAATGGGCCCACGTTCAAAGCTGTTTAGAGAGCTTAATGGAACATCTGGCTCTAGTAAGTTCTGCAAATGTTAAGGCTATTTTCCACCACCCCCCTCCCCCAAGTGCACAAAGTTTTATTATATAAGAAAAGGTTAGTTTCATAGTATGTTTTTACAAGACAAGCCTAAAAATTGAGCTTCTCTAATACTTCATAATATATTTTGGAATGCCATCAATTTTGCAAGAAAAATCAGAGACTTTAAAAAGACTCATAGGAGATGAAAACTGTCCTATTGTCATTTACTGTTTTTTGATTTTGTTCTCTTCTGAATAGAAAATGAAATCAGAGGTTTTTGTCTTAAGCCATTTGTTCAATTACCACAGTTCTGCAATTCTTATAAGACAGACATTTGAAGCTATCTTTAAACAAGAGGGATTAAAATTTGGAATTTTATGTCCATAAAATTTGTGTACAGTTAGAAATTATGCAAACTTCATTTTCTACATTTCTCTTCAGAAAAGTGCTTTTCTACATAAAGTAGAGTATAATAATTGAGTACTTTAGAGATGTATCATTAAAAAGCATTGAGATGATACTTGACATTTACATTCTTGCACTGCAAAGGTAACAGCAGTACATCAGCGCTACATTATGGTTTAGATTGTATTTTAGATGTTCTATTTCAGGAAGTGCTTTATTTAAGAGCTGTTTATTTACAATTAATCATTTACGTCAGCAAATGCAAGGCTCCACTGGCATGTACCTTAGAAATAAAAGGAATATGTATTCTCGTGTAAGGCTTAATTAATTTTATAAGCACTTGTGTTCTGATGTTTCGCAAAAGCTCTGCAAGAGAAAAAAAAAATATTGTAAAAATAACAGTACTTAAATAAAGATGCAATACAGTTCCATCTTTGTATCTTTTTATATCCTAACTACCATGATCTTTCAAGGTAGTTAGTACTTTCACATTCGGTGACTGGGGGAGCAGAACAAAATAAAGAGACCCTCTTTTTTCTAAGCATAGTTTGACAACATGTAACTCTGAAGATGGACAGATAAAGCTGATTAATTGTTTAAACCTGGAGCAATGTATTCCCTGTTAAAATTTAAATTATTCCAACTAACTGGATAAATCATACAGACCACAGCACAGTATACCTGTCTTATTTTCCAAGGCTCTGAAAATTAAGCCTGCATACAATTAACTTCATGGGGTATATTCACATTTAAGTTAAGCTTCAGGGTCTAATGGTATAACTATGACAAGAAACGGAAGAAAGAGTTATAAAACAGGGTCTGCATGAAGTGGCTGATTTTGCTTAAGTAAGATACTGCACCTTTTGTTTTAGTAACTTGCACGTTATTAAAGGAAAGTAATATAAAATTAAAGCATAGATTAACACTGTAAATTAACAGAAAAAGAGCTAGATCCATTTTACCTAAGCTTTACTTAGTCTTTTACCTAAGACTGTTCACTTAATGAAAACTAATACTGAAGACTGGATTATGTATCTCAATAAAACTAATGAGATTAAAACAACTAAGATAGATGTGTAAACATTAAAACCACGAACACACATTCCATCTCAGTATGCAGTGGAAAAGCTGAGAATGTCTTTTTTCTCTGGATGTTACTGGCAGACCAATGTCATAAAATGGGTTAAACTCAAAGTCTCTCCAGCCTTTAGGTTCAGCTGTCTTCCTTCTGTTGCTTTCCATTTTCTGTCATTCTCTCTTCCTTAAGCACCCGTCTCTTTAATCTTACAGTCTTTGCTACCAGACTTTGAAGTTTACCAGTAGTCGACATGTAACAGCAATAGAGGGGTTATATTTAGTTTCGCCTCCTGATTGCCATCTTCTCTTTTACAAACAATAAGTGTAAGAAAACCAGGTCTCTGGATTGAACTCTCCTCTTTCATGCAGCCATCCAGCTAACTGATTTGGCAATGCCAAAGTAGGTCCTACTCTTGATGAAAACAGTAGTCATCTGAAAAACTGGACGCTATCTGCAAGTCAAGAGACTTTTAATCTCTCAGATACATGACAAACTTCAGGAGAGACTTCATTTCATCTAATTGTTAATGGAATTAATGAACATGTATTAGTGTGTTCCTCTATTTTACTATATAGAGGTACTATAAATCCAAACATTGTTTTCAGCGTATACATTACAATTGTGTATGTTGTTAAATGTTTTATTTCTACACATTTATTAATGCAGCCTTCATTACACTGTCTACAGATTGGTTTTGATCTAAAGCAGTAAGTTCATCTTATAAAATAGTGAACATCTAACTATTGAGACTGATAAGAACAACCTTTGCAACTGATTAAGAGTTTCTCTCATTCAATCCTTCACCAATGCAAAAAAAAAAAAAATTAAATCCAAAATACTCAAGAGCATGTCATCACAGTATATATTATCTTAGAACATCCATTCGTGCAAGAACTTTCTTCATGGCTCCTGCAATTCTTAGCAGTCATTCTACCTGCCAGGATGGATGTTGGCCCTGATCAATTTACAAAGAAGAACTTGGAAAACATTAAAGGAATTGTCTGTAAGTAATAATTACGAAAAATATTCAACACAGAAAAAATAAATCTTAAAAAAATACTGCACAAAAAGCAGAGAAAAGAAAGGATTAAAAGAGCAGGTGAAAATACCTTCAATATGCTCCCTTATGAAGGGATCATCCATGATGTTGCTGTGATTTGTTTTCAGAATCTTCTCAAATTCAGTGATGTCGTTATTCTGATAGGCACTTCAGAAAATACAAGACTGAATTATTATTTTAAGAAGTAAAATAGATTCATTATAAGATTTTGTTCTCTACCTTCTAAAAAACTGTATTAAGTGTTGTTGACAAATCATATTAATAATCTTCATAAGGAAAAAATATTTTTGATGAGGTGCCACAGAAAAGACCTTTTTCCTATTTCATATTTTGTTACCATTTACAGAAGTTTAGTATGATCCCTTAGTTCTTTTGCAAGTGTTCACTGGTCTCAAACCATTTGTACTTTAAAAAGCTATTATTAAAAAAAAAAAAAAACCCAAACCCTGAAAGCAGCCACTTTTGGACAGTATTATTACTCAAATTTTGGCTTACTAAGGCCAAATTTTATGCAACAAATAAGAGATAAAAAGAGTCCAGAGGTTTTTTGTTGCTGGTGCTTCTAGAATGTCTATCTTAAGCCGAATTCTAAGAAAAAGCTGCCTTTCTGAGAGTAACTGAGAGTAACTGAGAGTAACTGAGAGTAACTGAGAGTAACTGAGAGTAATTTTGGCATAACATTACTGTTTAAATTATTATTTATAGTTCATTCTTAATATCTATAATATCATTTAACTACTTAATCTTGTTCTCTAAGGAAAGGTTACAGAAAGAAGATGGGCTTGGAGACCAATTATTATTCAATAGTGGCACCACAGCATCATTTAAAGATACAGGCACAGTTAGTCCTAACAGGGACTATATGCTAACCAATGAAGCTTACACACTAATTAGTTATATTGCGCTACAGGCTAATGATCTTTAACCTGAAAGAGGTACTGTTCAGTATCTGCCTTAAATTTCTGTTTGAAATTGACACTGAATATTTTTAAAACAACATATATTTCTCCTTCATAGTCTCTATATATTTTCAAATTGTTTTTTTAACTGGTCAAGACAGACATCCTGTAAAAGAGGCAAAAGAAACTCTAATTAAACTTAGGATGGAATTTGAGGGGTTTATAAATGGAGTTATAACAGTGGAGAGGACTGTATCACACGGAATTAATACATTTTACTTCATAATTAAATGGAAATTCAATTAAGTATATTTTATTGTTTATTCTAGAAGTCTCTCTTTACAATATGCAAAGCATTCAAGTGCCCAATGTAGAGCAGGGAAAGAATTAAAAACATAACTGTAATCTTTGGAATTGATTTTATCTTCTGCAGTGTTCTTATCTACAACTGTTTTAATTGCATTATTAATCTTAAAGAAGCCATTATACTCAAATGTCAAGATTAAAGATATAAATTAGGAGTATGAATAAAAATCAGATCGGGTAAAGCCATCTGGACTTCCTTCTGCCTCAAATTCACATGAAGCTATGAAAGTGAAGTAGAAAAGATGTCTAAAGTGGAATTATTGGAATAGTCTCTTAATAAACTGCCAAAGCATGTATTCATCGTGATGTCAATAATGGACGAACATCCTTGCTTTTAGAAATGATTTGTCTCCATACAATGGTGCAGCACCACAGTGCTCTCAAAGCACTGTGCAATCTCAATCACCACAGTGCAATCTCAAAGCAAGGTTGGTTCCAACATGACTTTAGCAGTGTATTTCAAAACGTATGTCCAGTGTGTTTCAAAGCATGTATTACTTCTTATGTAATGAAAAGGTGGGAAGTTTCTTAAGCATTGTTCATTCTCTTACTTGTTAATGCAAAGGCAGGATAGAGCGGACAGAAAAGGTTAGCTTCATAGCACAGAATACAAAGATGGCCTTAGTTCACTTTATTTTGTCTGATAATCTAAATATCCAAAAAGCTCTGGCTTCACGTTTGCCTGTAAGAGGTAACGAAGAATTCTTTTGATCTTCATATATTTGAAGGACAGGGATGATTGCCTGAGAATCCATTTCATATTCCTATGTTATGAAACTCCTTTACTAATCATGAAATATCAGTGCATCCAATTATTCTATTGGCTTTGGTATGAGATGTGAATTATCTCAGTTCCTCATATATAATCAGCCAAACCCTACAGTCCAGTTGCACTGCTAGGAGAGTGAACTAACTTTCAGGGAAAAATGTGATTTTTTTTGCCATTGCAGAAGAAATTCACCATAGTAGAAGATAAACAGCACTTTCCCCCCCTCCCCCTACCTGGTATGGGATAGACTGTGGTGCATGTCAAAGTAAATAAAACAATTTCTTAAGAAAAACAGTCTACAAGTGTTTGCCTGATACTTATGAAAAAAATGTTTGTGTTAGTTGTGCACAAAAACGCCACCTCTTAAAAATATCCAATTCCTGATTTGGACTACTTTTTTTTTTTCTCTTCTTCTCCAGAAAACTTAAAATCTTACCTTACTAAATTCGTCATTGCTAGAATCTCTGGATCATTTTTGTATGGTTTAGCCTACACAGAACAGAAAGAACAGAAAGCACAATATGCATGTTTAGATTTCAAATATCTTTTTCTTTGTCTTTTTGTGGTAACTCTCCTATCAATTCTTAAAAAAAAAAAAAAAAAAAAGGCAGTAACTGAAAGTGATTTAATCATATTTATAAAAGTACCTCCTGAGAATCAAATGGATTTATTCCAGATTTCATCAGCATGTTTGCTAAGACCAAGTATTTTAAGCAAGTGGTTCTTCTGGGGCTCCCTGATTCATCATAATTCTTGAACGCTTCAAAAAAATCAGTATGTGCCTTTTCAAACTCTCCTTCTCTTAAGTGCATTTTGCCTCCACATTCTGAAAAGAAAAAAGGAACACCGCGTGCTTGTTGCTGACTAGAATAATTGTACTCAGAAGTTCCACACTATTTCTAAATAGATTACTGAAATATTTTCAGGAGTCTTTTCATTCTCTAAAATCACTAGAAAAAGCACTAGGCTCTGCACATACAGCTTTGCCATTTGAATAAACCCATTCCACAGAAGACAAAACAAAACCCAACCCACACTATGAATCTAAAAGAACACCAGTCCTTGCAGGCAATAATTATTTTAATCTTATGTTAAAATACTTAAAATTCAAATGGAATTTATCTCCATAAACTTCAAAGACAATAGACTTCCTGTATTTATGAAATCTTCCCTATATATTTTGAGTAAAGCTACACAGAAAAACAAACTGAGAAATACTGTTCATCTTTTATTTCTCAAGTATCCACTAGTGCCTGACCTTCTGTGCAAGTGCCTACACCAAAGGAAGAAAGGCACAACAGTATTCTGGAGAAAGGTGTTTTCAAGACATGCAGCATGTTTCCACTATAATTCACCTTTACTGATAATAAATCATATTTTCAATACATCTTAAAGCTCTTCTGTTCCTGATGAATTTTAGTAAGGTGAAACATCAAGTGCAAATTTACAAAAGTAGACTACAGAAACAGCAGTCCCTTCCACTAGCAGCCCTGTCAAGCCTTGTGCATTTATCCTTTGTTGCCTGTCATGGTGTCAGGAAGCTCATGTCTTCCCTCCTTCTTCTATTGCTTTTTTCCTAGGCCATGTCATCAATGGTTCTGCCCCTCTGACCAGTGCATCTGCTGCTTGGGACCAGAGCAGCAACGCTGAAGTCCCACGGGAGACAAACATTAAATGATGAAACCATAGTCACAGCATTTGTAGTCCCTTATTCACATAGGGTTTGTCCGACTCTGAACCTACAGGATCCTCTGCAATGTTTTTATAGGTGAAACTGAAAAAATTATCATCAAATTTTCATGAAACTAATCTATGCAACAGAGGTTAATTGAGAAGTTGAATATTAACTTGCCTCTGATAACTCCCATGATCAGCGGATGAGGAATGGCTGACTTGATGTGCAATGACTGTTCATATAGTGCTTTAAGTTTTTTGTTATTTTTCTGTGCTGTATACATTTGAATTTCCAAAGCATAGATTTCCAATAGTTGAGTACCTTTTTTAAGATCATCTTCACCATCATCAGTCTAGGATAGATTAAGTAATAAATACTGTGAAATTTTAAGAGAACAGTGATTTCAGTTTTACACATTGATTATGAAATACGCTCAGAAACTTCCTGTCAGAAATAAAGACATTCCTAAAATTTCACATTTTTACACAGCTATAAACAGAAAACTCAAGGAACTTACCATAGACCAAATTCTGAAGCCATTTATTAACACAGCATCACTTTTGTCTAACTAAAACTTTTCCTTATAATAACTTTCAGAATTTTGCCCTTTATACTTTTCTAGTCTCCTTTAAAAAAAAAAAAGCTGGTCTCAGTACACAAATGCAATGACTTGAGTATATATATATTGATAATACATATGACTCTTCTACTGCCTATAACAAAGCCATTTCCCAGATATTTGTAACCCATTTTCAATGCCAGATGAGGAAAAGAGGACACAAAAAAGCACAGCAGGCTGCACAGCTTAATTTCTTTCTCCTCTCTTTCCAAATGGGGAGAAGAAACAACTATATGTTTCAGCTTTGACTAAAGCTCACTTGGAATCTTCATTGCATTTTAAAATAAATGTCTATACTTTTAAATGATTGACATGTTCTTTTCATTCTTGTGCTTGACTAAAAAAAAAAAAAACTTATTCAATCAGTACTTGTCCATTATTTTCTTTTAATAATCTTTTACCAAGGAATAAAAAACTTTTATCATTTTGAGTTCATGTTATCAAACAGATAACAAGTTAAAGCAAGCACAGGATTTCAACAGTGTGCCTCAAAGGCCAAACAACAGATGTGAAAAAAAATCAATGTTGTTGACTAAGCTACACTGATTTATAATATAAAGTTACCTGGCATGACTGATGCAGCTGGCGCAAAATCTTTTGTAACTTTCCATATTCTTCTCGTTCTAAATATAATTTGCCGAGCTGGAAAAAAAAGAAAAAAAGGATAAAGAAAATAGAGAAAACAAGAAAAAACAAACAAAAAAAGCTGAAATAGTAAGGTCTATTAAGATTTCATAATTATAGCTTATAAGGTTTAGTTGAAGGTGTCACAAACAAAAGTTAAAAATAGTAATTTATATATTTTACCTTTGTGTTTGTCTTAAACCACAATCTATCATTCTTAGCATCTTTCAGAGCTTCAAGTGTTGTTTCATAGAATTCCTGAAGCAAATCCATCTGACATAAAAAATCAGAATTCTATAATTGTAAACAGCAAATTTGTACCTGTTAATAAAGTCAATCTGAACAAACTAAAAGTGCATGTTTGAACTTCAAAACAAGAAAGATAGAGAAATCTGCATCTTATTTAATGTCTGCTTTTAAATTGTAAAAACAGCTTCTAAAATAACAAATCAAAGTATGCTTGCTCTTTTTATATGAAATTGATATTATCATTAAAAAGCATGCTGGTGACAAATGAAAGCCACCTGTCCATCTTCTACAAGCAAATAAGAAAATCCTTATGTCGTGTAACATAAGGCAAACACTAATAGACAAGAGTACTACTTAGAAAGAAAAACAAAAACCAAAGAATTTACATATCAAAAAGGATAAAAGAATAAGATTTACCAAAAAAAAAAAAAAGAAGTGGTCAAAGGAAAAGATACTTTTCTATACTACCAACACTGCATGAAACAAAGATAAAAACTTGAGTGCATCAAACCATTTCCTTGCATAAAAATGAAAATATAACATCCAAAATGGAAATCAAAGTGCTGAATATAACATTGAACAAAAGTTCTACAGAGAACGCATTAATATTGTTTATGGCTGTTGTTCTTTTTGGCAGTAGGGATAAAAGATCTGCATCTATACATCAGGTTAAAATTTCCAAATTGTCCCTCCAGGTCTGGCTCCAGGTGCCTTTAGACCAAACACACTCAACACCGTCCACAAGGTAAAGTTCAAGCCAATCTAAAGTCCTTTAGACTTGAGGGTAAAGCCTCATTCATCTATTAAACTTTGCCTTCCTATGGATGGCAGGACAGGAGGGATTGTGATTATGAGACAAGAGTCATTGCTAAAGAACAATAATCCCCCATATGCTGGTGCTATCTCCAGGTAGTCAGTTAGGGAAGCTTTCAACTATCAGTAAAGCTTCTGTGACGACACAGAAGAAAAGAAGCCGAGCTGTATATATATGAACATGTGCCTAGCTTGCACAGTCCATTCAAAGACAGACAATATCTACCACCAACATGTCATTGCAGAATTTTTCAAAGTAAAATGGATTACTTAATTGCAAATTACATTTGAGACTGCACATACTCTGTGCAGCTATTATGCTAAAAAACTTTACAGCATGGATATCCTAGGTAAATATTGCCAAACAATATTCAGCCTGCTTTAATCAAATAAAAAGCCACGAATTTATGAAAAGTTATTATGCATGTGGATAGAATCCACTAAATCCACTAAATGTGGAAAATATACAACAAATGAATACTGCAACTGTTCTCTAATAAAGTCAAAAAATCAGACTACTATACACAAAAAAGTCCACAGATAAAAATGTGAAGAAGAAAACGATTAAGATGAAAGAACTGATGATCTAACCTGCTTGGAAGTAGAGATATAATCAAGAATAGAATTGATGGATTTTTCAGAGTAATTCCTTGTAACTGCACTCCGTATGTAGGTCAATAGCTGTTTATATCTGTTCATCATTTCAGGAAAGTTAGTCTATTAAGAAAAAAAAGATCATTTTATGAATTTTTGTTTTAATGACTAAAAACTGAACTACATCTTGCAAATACACATACAAAAAACAAAGCATAATAGAAAGACTATTGTGGTTGCTATAAGGAACTTTTACATCACTGCTTTATTGATAAGCAGGAGAATCAGGAGTAACTTCACAAAGCCTCCACAGAACAGGCGTTTAAAATGTTTCTCTCATTTAACAAAATAGAGACACTTATACAACTGTTAGCAATGGTTGCATATGTAACAGGAAAATATTTTTCACTGATTTGTTCTGGTGAACAGTGTTACACATACATACGTGTTAGCAGTCTGCAATTCAAACTGAAATCTGAACGTTAATACCATAACAACAAATGCCCACTTTACAAAAGAAGCTCAAAAAAAAAAACCTAGTCCCAAAATTTGATATAAACAATCCAATAAAACAGTATTTTAAAGAGTAGTTCTTAAAATCAAAGTTTTCTAAAGAAGTCACTTTTTTCTCTGTTTGATTAAGGATGGTACTTTACTTTATTTTACAAGCTTTCCTTTCACACATACAATCTAGCAACAGCTAGGGTATGATACCTCAGCAAGGACTGAGTCTCAGACTTTCAGAGAAGCTCAGCTGACTACAGCAGCTATTTGCTTACATTTTACCTTTCATTTGCAACCACAACATAATCTCCCTACCATATTCGTAGTAGCCACAAAAGGCTGCAAAAAACAAGTCCTGGCAGATTTTGCTGCCATAGCCATAAGTTAGAATAATAATTTAAGAACTATGGATCAAATCCATATGTATGCCATTTACTCTCAAATAATAGCTGTAACTCTTACCAATTTAAAGTTTATTTTAATCATCTGTTTCAGAGCTTTGAATCCCCACTCTCCTTTTTCACCTTCAAGCTCTAAAACCTGAAATAGAAGATTTTTTAAAATAACGTTTACAAAAACTTTTTTCAATTTGTAAATCGATTTGTACCCCTTTTAAAACATACACATCCTGCACATGCCTTCTTCCCCTGCTTTCTTCCTTACAATAATGTTCTACTCTGCGCTGTTCTCCAATTCTACTCTTTCACAATATTGTTGAAAAAGACAGGGATATGCATCTTATTAGTTTTCACATCTAGCTTGATGAAGGAAGGGTGATTATAAACTGATAAAGATATTTATGGATTTTTTTTATTGTCTAACATCAAATACTACAATCTAATGCCACTCCATGAACACAAACACACAAGGAGTTAAAAAAAAAACCAAAAAACAACCTAAATTATTAAAAAATTTACACTTCTGTATTACTATCATTTCTTCTCATATCAGAAGGACTTCCAGGCTGCAATCTTTAATGTAACATATTTAAGAATATGTTTTGTAAGCAAAAATTGTAGAAAGTTTTTTTTAAGTCACGTATATATACTTTTACATACAATAAATAAGTCAAAAGATGCAAAAATCTACTTTTTCCTTAAAAAGTAACAGCTAATATATTGCTTTCTGATGGCAGTGTGCAAACATAAAACATTTAAAACTGACGTGAAGGAAAGAAACTCTCTCTAGATGTGTCACTTACTATTTATGCATTTAAAGCTTTGGATCAGATTGTGAACAAAATATAATGCATTATGTAAGACACTGGAGAAAAAGCCATCTAATTTTAAAAAAGCAATAGATTTAGTTTCTATAGTTGACACGTGAAAATATTCTTAGGATTCTTTAATTAAATGAGTAAGTTTTTAAGATTAAAAATGTCAGTTTTACTATAAAATAGGACCACTCTATGGTCCTGTTTATGCTCCCTAAGTGTGACTGAAAAGGCAGTTGGTCAGGAATCTAAGTAGCCCAATGATAAACTTAGCATGTTAATAAGTTAAGCTATGAATGTTATAAATATTTTCTTGCCTTTCGAGCTATTTTCTAGAACTCTAATGTGGATTAAATATAATTGCAGCAGTAGAGAACCAAAAAAAAAAAAAAAAATAGAATAGAATAAAAAGACTGAAAACCTTCTGAAAACTGCTTAGTGCCGCTTTGGGATCATCTTCCTTCAAAGCTTTAGAATTGTAGTATTGATTTTCCAGATCCACGTTTGGTTCAGAATTACTGTCCTCAGAATATTCCTACATTTTGGGAAAAAAGAAGAAAAACAAATACATATCAGAGAAAAAAAAAAAGAAAGGTTCAGAACACCTCTAATATTTCACTGAAAATGGATAGAATGTAATAATACATATTGTTCAAACTGACACAAAATACCGGCATAATAACATAAAATCCTCAGTTTCAAAGCATGTAACATGTACGGACTCACAGGATGATTTTATCTCTCCCCCATTATCAGGGCAACCTCACTGGCTACCAACATTTGCCTGTGAACATATTTCTTGCTGGACTAATGCACTCTAGTCATGATGCTCTCATAGCTTCACTGACTTTGTTTTTATGATAAGTACAGACTGCATTATTATTATTTAGCCAATTTTGGTGTTTAAGGACAGATGCCTAACCGCATATGTCGTTTTTGTACAGGAGAGCAAACATGCTGGCCACTAGTCTTCTAAAAGGCACTATATTAAGTGACCTTTACCATCCACAAAAAAGACCCTGAGTGAGTTGCCATACAAGTAATGATTCAGCAATGGATGGTATAACATGTTTCCATGAATCTCTAATCTCCCTTTTTATACCATAAAGATTCATACTTGTCTATAGAAATATAATAATAAAAAGAATAACGATGATAATACCAGCTGCCTCTTTGCTGAGAAGCAGGAAATGACTGGGAAAATGCTAATGTTACTGCAAGGGTAGGGGGGTGGAGTGTGGGCACGAAATAATTTAATCAAACAATTACCCGTCATGTACACTAGCACCAAACAAATTGCAAAATTTACTTCTACCAATTATTAAATTATTCTTTTAAAGTAGCCTGGGGCTTTTTCTGATGAAAATAAACTAGGCATTTGATCTTTTGCCATTGGACAATACTGCAGTGTCTCAATTACAAAACACTAACAAAGTCAAAACCCAAATAATAAACAAATTTATTTGACGTTTACAAGAATCACACAAATATTTCACATCTCTGCATTTTTAAGCCAACTTCTCTCAACAGTGTGCTTAACTATTAGGAAATGAATTTAATAGTTTAACAGATTTTGTTTAAACCTCAAAGTTAGTGTAATCAGAGTAACTTTCCCTTGTAACAATAAGAACAATACAGTTAGGTGCCTTTCTTTAAGTTGACATTTTCTCTTTTACTGTACTTCCTCCTCTGCACTATAAATATTTATTCTTCTGTTCATTCCTGTGTTGCTAATGTTAATCGAGTCCTTCAAAACCATGGGAAGGAAAGAAAAACAGATTAGGCATAAGAAGTTTTGAAATTAGCTCTCTCTTCCCTATGATACAAGTAAATCTTTCAAAGTTTAATTTTTCTGAAGTTCTAAATAGGAAGAATTAATTACGGCCACTTATAGCTGACTCAAATGATCCTTGAGACATTTATCTTTCAATTTGTCATGTGTAGATGATTCGCTCAAGTATGCATTTATTTATACTTACTCCAAGTATACTGTTTAGTAAGAAATCAATGGACTTAAAAGCCTAGTGGATTCCACAAATCTGTTTTCTGAATTCCCAAAGAACTATAGAACCTAATACTGAAAAACTTTAAAACAAACAGGAAGCAAATACCTTATCGTGTTATTTCACTGGTAAGACTTTCATCTTGGCTAGCTTATACCTGTAAATTCTTTACTCCATTGATCCACCAGAGATAAAGCAACTACAAGAGTATTTACAAGATGCCAATAGCTGTAGCATGTCAGGCACCTCATGAAGATATACTCTGAAAAAGCTTAAACAACACAGCATTTAAGATACCTGTAATCAGTGGATGCCTCATTTATACTAGACCTGAACAATGAGGGAATTTTTTTGGCTGAAGTATCTATTTGTAAAGGATAAAAGCATGGCAATCTAAATTAATTCCTTTTTGGCAGCAATGTGCTCTGTTAGCTTAAAACCAAAAACGTCTAATTTTTCATCTCAGTTCTGGCAATGATTCTGGATGTGGAAATACGCAGTATGCCTTTTTCAGATCATTTTTCTCAATGCTACTTAAATATCCCATACCTGAATATTATTATGAAAATAGCTTTATAACAAAGAATAAACGTTAAGGCTAGACAGCAATTTTTTCCTAATAGAATCACTTCGAAATGCAGGAAAGGAAGTGTTTTATGTTGCTACAGCTATATTTTACCTTCATTTGATGCCTACTTGCCTCACATCAATCTTAGGATGTTGATACTGACTCAAAGCTCTAAAGCAGATGGGGCTTTCCTATTTCAGGAATCCTGCTCCTCTCCATGGCATACAGACCTAAACATAGCTAATGGAGACACCTAAGTTGAATTCCTTGCCATTTAAGAGAGATAATTCACGTTGAAAGCAATGCTTGCTCCAGAACAGGGTTTACTTCCTTTTTGGAATACTTTATTAGCACGATGCATCCATTTATGAAGGCTGCCCTAGGGAGAATATGGCATAATGAGTTAAGATATATGCCTAAACAGGTGAGTTTTTATATATTTCGGAAGGGTTAGGTTTTATGGGTAGCAAGCTGATGAACAAATCACCATTGCAACTTCAGTTTGGGGCACCTACAATGCTATTCAGGCACCCCATACTTTTTTTTTTTTTTTTTTTTTTTAAGAAATTGCAATAATATCTGGGGGAAGAAAACCAAAAAGATTGAGGGAGATTTTTTTTTTCCTTCATCCAAAAATATGTAATTGAATGAAAAACAGTGTTACTTTTAGAAGTTAACTGGATATAATGACAACATGAATTAACCTTACCGTACCCTTGCAGAGGACTCAGATGTAACACATCTGATGGATCTCAGCACTAAACATCAAGTAAGATTGGAAAGCTCAGACCCGTGTTGAAAGCATAAGACCACTTTACGTCTTGTAGGTAATATAAGACCAAGCAATAAAATATCTTTATTGTAGTCAAATCCAACATCCAATGAGATTAACAAGCCACATTATTATTATCAGACCTGGAAATACTGCTTACAGACCAGGATCTCACACTGTTAGGTGCTTTTCAAACCAAGTCTCTGCCTCAAGGAGCTTACAATCCAGATACTACAATGGATTGTAGTAAAAACACCACATAAGTACGCAAACTACTTTAAGGGGCTTACTTTAAAAGATGAATTTAGACTTAATGGCTGTAAAAAAAAACTTAAAACCATGAACTAAGTATGATGCAGTGAATCTGTAAACAATCTAAAATAAAAGATCAGTCATTTAGATGCTGCATTTCAATTTAAATACCAGCATTAATTATGCCAAGCGCTGATCAATTCAGAAGGACCAGCATTCTACTCTCTCTTTTCTTGATGCATGTGATAAATGGAAAGAACGTAAGAATATTCAGCTTTTGTCAAAAGCAAAAGGAAAGAAGAGGGAAAGGAAGAGTGTGACACTGTCTCCTCAAATTTCAAGTTAAGAAAAAGATGCATTCCCTTTCCAGTATTGAAAATAGCAAAGTTCTTTTAATACCAAATTCAGATACCAGACACCTAAACTTCTCTAAACACCTAAGCAATTTTAATAAAAGCTAAATTAGTACCACAGATTCAATGTAATTTACTCATCTTTATTAAATTACATACTGAGTTTTCACAAAGTTTACTTTGTCTAGTAAACAGCTTTAAAACATTAAGCCTCAGCTTTTACAACGAGCGCATACAGAAGATAATTCATCTCATCCAACTTTAATCATGAAATTTAGAGCATGGAGCCATCCGTTCACATTTCTCCAGTAGCAAAGGCAGTTTAAGAGCACCCAGCCCTCCCTCACCCTCTTTGTTTGTTGCTGGTCCTCTCATCCCCTTCACCCTTAGCTGCAGGGATTGAACAGCTTACGCTGTGTGGGTTCTGGCGATGCCTGATCCTGGTGCAGTTGAGAGAACTGGCCAACAGTTACACAGATGCAGTCCATAGCCTGGTGAGATATGCCAGTGGAGCAGATGACCAGGGAGGGTGAGAAAGCTAGCTGTGGTATCAGAAAACCACAACAGGAGCCTTAGTCAATGTGGTCTCAAGAGACTACCTAGAGCGGGTGAAGCATGGCACCTCTCCTCACAGACAGAATAGCATATATGAACTTGGACACTGTAACACTATTAGTGACATTTAACAGTAAATTTGTGGCATTATAGGAGAAGGATGGCACACTAACTTGACAAACGTAAAAAACCAAAGAAATCAATATTTTGTAAAAACTACAGTTGACTACTTACTAATTCTCATGTTTCCTCTTGTGCCTAAAGCCCTTCCCTAATCTCTTCATCAAATGTACACTGAGACTCTGAAATTCTGCTTTTCTGTATATTTTTCAGCTACCTGTATAGGAGCTAAATTCCTACTCTGTAAACCTTTTTCAGTAACAAGTGAAAGAGCATAACTTTCAAGACCAAATTTCGGCCAATGGGCTATCTCAAACCACTGCAATTGTTTCTGTGTTCAGCTGTTCCTTACAATAAGTCTGGTAAAAATTTGGTTTTACTCAGCTAACTGTGCTTCATAACTATGGCATTTAGGAAGTCTGCTAACTCTAGGATTTTGAGCAGGGACCTGACATTTTGCAAAAGCATCAGTGATATGAGCTTTTTAAACACAAAAATACCCACATGAGGCCAAGTGAAAAAACCCTGAATATCACTGCTCAATACATTAGTCTGTTAGCTTGCCAGCTAAATTTCTTGAGCATTTCATCTACAATGAACATGCACTATTTCCACATGGCTCATATGTGTTGGCACAAAGAGTGACCAACCAATCACCATCCTAGTGCTAAGTACAACTTACTTTGCCTCTGCTCTTCTTGGACCACTGGTCCCCTAGGCTCCAGGACATAAAGCACAGAAAAGTTTCTATGTGCTTCTGCCACTGGTATCCAGGCGCATGAATATAAAGAGAGCAGCTGGACTAGAATGCAAAAAAGTAAGGAGAAAAAGAACCGAGACAGTCTGAGAGGGTAAGATTAGGAGCGTGATTTGTGTAAGAAATCTGCAAGCGCAAGCACTCAATCCACACTCCAGGTCTCTGTGCTCTTCTGCTCTTACTCACTAACTCTGCAAGTCATCTCCTTGTAGTGCCTGCTGGCTCTCACACGGGCTTGTAACAGTCAGTTACTGACACCAGGAATAAGCAGTCTGTGAGCAGCTTCAGGAGTCTAGTTCTGCCAGTGATTTGCAATGGGGTCAGTACAGTTCCATGGAAAGACAGTGCTCGGCCTTTGTTTAGTTTTATTTTTTTAAAGGCAGAAGTTGGAAGATGTATAGAAATGAAACTGGAGACTGCAGAAAGAAAAAGATGGTATTATGACGTGCAAAGAGTGTCCAATAGAAGTACCTTTTCTTCCCAACACTATCATACAGTTCTGTAATGCTGGGCAAATCACATAACTTTGTTTCCTTCTTTTCTAAGAATCCAGTTTAGGATAACTGGGATTCAATTTACTCCGGTTTAACACTCAATTGCATACCAAATCCAGGCAAGCTTTGTTCTGGATAAAGGGCTAAAATACTCTGGAAAAAAACACACACACGCACGCACCCCCCCCCGCCTCAAAAGAGAACTTATACCAAACTTGTCAATGGTCAGATGGAAAGAATTTATAGACTAACCACAAATCATTCTCATACTTACTGCCTCAATACTTGCTTTTGAGATATTATGGTAATGAGCAAAATAAGCCCAAAAATATACTAATTCTGTGTTTACAGGTGAGTCTGAAGAGAATTTATAAAATACCAGGACACATACTGAACCTATTAAGCGGGAATTAACTCAGAGCAGTCTATCCCATATCCTCTGTGAAGCACATTTTTGCTCAATTAAAGAAAAATCATATACTAATGCAATTAAATATAACAAAGAAACACAAGAGGGTAAACTGATCTGCTTGATTTGGTATTTCCTAAGTTCTGAATGCTTGTTTTTGCAGCCTCATCACTCTCATGTATGCAATATATACATATTTTTAAATGATGGCAATGCTGAAATGTAAAGATTGGGAAGAGGTGACAATATCTCCACGAAATTTCAACCATGTCTATCAAAAATGCATACCAGCATAAAGTAGGAAAATTTCACTGACTACTGATGAGATTAGTCATCAGGTTTGGGAGCATACAGGAATTCCTTTTGAAATGAAGTATATTTCTTATGGTTGGAAAGAAAGAGGGAACCAATTCATATTTACTGAGCTGTCTTTCTGATAGCCTTAAACAAAATGTTTGACTGCATACTTCCAAATACTGACACAGTCTGAAAAGGGAAACCCCTAGTAATTTGAAGGCACTTCCCCCATATTTAAACCACGTCCTTGATCCTGATGGGCTTGTGGCCATCGCACTGGGGTGAAAACAGCTGGCCATTCGTTGGATTTGTACACAGCTCTTCTACTAAAGTCACTGAAACAATGCACCTACGTAACACAAATATTTGTTGCGGTATAGTCAAATTGCTCAGCAAGCAGATTTGGCTATCCTTCCACCAGATTAATTTTTAAATTGAATGTCAGAGTACAGAAAGATGTCTCATTA